CAGGTCTCTGGTCTCTGGTCTCTGGTCCTTGGTCTCTGGTCTCTGGTCTCTGGTCTCTGGTCCTTGGTCTCTGGCCCCTGGTCTCTGGTCCTTGGTCTCTGGTCTCTGGTCTCTGGTCTCTGGTCCTTGGTCTCTGGTCTCTGGTCTCTGGTCTCTGGTCTCTGGTCTCTGGTCCTTGGTCCCTGGTCTCTGGTCTCTGGTCTCTGGTCTCTGGTCCCTGGTCTCTTCTCCCTGCTCCCTGGTCTCTGGTCTCTGGTCTCAACTCCCTGGTCTCTGGTCTCTGGTCCCTGGTCTCTGGTCTCTGGTCTCTGGTCCTTGGTCCCTGGTCTCTGGTCTCTGCTCCCTGGTCTCTGGTCTCTGGTCCCTGGTCTCTGGTCTCTGGTCCTTGGTCCCTGGTCTCTGGTCTCTGGTCTCTCTGGTCTCTGGTCCCTGGTCTCTGGTCTCTGGTCCTTGGTCTCTGGTCTCTGGTCTCTGGTCTCTGGTCTCTGGTCTCTGGTCTCTGGTCCCTGGTCTCTGGTCTCTGGTCTCTGGTCCTTGGTCCCTGGTCTCTGCTCCCTGGTCTCTGGTCTCTGGTCTCTGGTCTCTGGTCTCTGGTTCCTGGTCTCTGCTCCCTGGTCTCTGGTCTCTCTGGTCTCTGGTCCCTGGTCCCTGGTCTCTGGTCTCTGGTTCCTGGTCCCTGGTGTCTTACCATAGAGGAACTGTGAACACTGTTGATAGTCCTCCTCCTGGTCCTCACACTTGTCCGCTGCAGTCTGAGAGTCGCTGCGAGTCCAAGCGAAGACCGCGGCTCCGGACTCCACCAGCAGCTTACACAGAGCTGTGTTATTACAGGAGGCCGCGCAGTGCAGCGGAGTCCTGGACCAGAGAGGAGCTTCAGTACCATGTGTGAGCTTTGATACCATGTGTGAGCATCAGTAACATGTGTGAGCGTCAGTACCACGTGTGAGCTTTGATACCATGTGTGAGTGTCAGTACCATGTGTGAGCTTTGATACCATGTGTGAGCGCCAGTACCATGTGTGAGTGTCAGTACCATGTGTGAGCTTTGATACCATGTGTGAGCGTCATTAACATGTGTGAGCTTTGATACCATGTGTGAGCATCAGTAACATGTGTGAGCGTCTTTACCATGTGTGAGCGTCATTACCATGTGTGAGCGTCAGTACCATGTCTGAGCTTTGATACCATGTGTGAGCGTCAGTACCATGTGTGAGGGTCAGTAGCATGTATGAGCCTTGATACCATGTGTGAGCGTCAGTACCATGTGTGAGCTCTGATACCATGTGTGAGCGTCAGTAACATGTGTGAGCGTCATTAACATGTGTGAGCATCATTAACATGTGTGAGCGTCAGTACCATGTGTGAGCTTTGATACCATGTGTGAGCGTCAGTAACATGTGTGAGCGTCATTAACATGTGTGAGCTTTGATACCATGTGTGAGCGTCATTAACATGTGTGAGCTTTGATACCATGTGTGAGCGTCATTAACATGTGTGAGCTTTGATACCATGTGTGAGCGTCAGTAACGTGTGAGCGTCATTAACATGTGTGAGCTTTGATACCATGTGTGAGCGTCATTACCATGTGTGAGCGTCAGTACCATGTCTGAGCTTTGATACCATGTGTGAGCGTCAGCGTCATTACCATGTGTGAGCGTCAGTACCATGTGTGAGCTTTGATACCATGTGTGAGCGTCAGTAACATGTGTGAGCGTCAGTACCATGTGTGAGCTTTGATACCATGTGTGAGCATCAGTAACATGTGTGAGCGTCAGTACCACGTGTGAGCTTTGATACCATGTGTGAGCATCAGTAACATGTGTGAGCGTCAGTACCATGTCTGATCTTTGATACCATGTGTGAGCGTCAGTACCATGTGTGAGGGTCAGTAGCATGTATGAGCTTTGATACCATGTGTGAGCGTCAGTACCATGTGTGAGGTTTGATACCATGTGTGAGCGTCAGTAACATGTGTGAGCTTCAGTACCATGTGTGAGCTTTGATACCATGTGTGAGTGTCAGTACCATGTGTGAGCTTTGATACCATGTGTGAGCGTCAGTAACATGTGTGAGCGTCAGTAACATGTGTGAGCGTCAGTACCATGTGTGAGCTTTGATACCATGTGTGAGCGTCAGTACCACGTGTGAGCTTTGATACCATGTGTGAGCGTCAGTAACATTTGTGAGCGTCAGTACCATGTGTGAGCTTTGATACCATGTGTGAGCGTCAGTACCATGTGTGAGCTTTGATACCATGTGTGAGCGTCAGTAACATGTGTGAGCGTCAGTACCATGTGTAAGCTTTGATACCATGTGTGAGTGTCAGTAACATGTATGAGCGTCAGTAACATGTGTGAGCTTTGATACCATGTGTGAGCGTCAGTACCATGTGTGAGCGTCAGTAACATGTGTGAGCATCAGTACCATGTGTGAGCGTCAGTACCATGTGTGATCGTCAGTAACATGTGTGAGCACCAGTACCATGTGTTAGCTTCAGTAGCATGTGTGAACATCAGTACCATGTGTGAGCGTCAGTACCATGTGTGAGCTTTGATATCATGTGTGAACGTCAGTACCATGTGTGAGCTTTGATACCATGTGTGAGCGTCAGTACCATGTGTGAGCGTCAGTATCATGTGTGAGCGTCAGTCCCATGTGTGAGCGTAAGTACCATGTGTGAGCTTTGATACCATGTGTGAGCGTCAGTACCATGTGTTAGCGTCAGTATCATGTGTGAGCGTCAGTACCATGTGTGAGCGTCAGTACCATGTGTTAGCGTCAGTATCATGTGTGAGCGTCAGTACCATGTGTTAGCGTCAGTATCATGTGTGAGCGTCAGTACCATGTGTGAGCTTTGATACCATGTGTGAGCGTCAGTACCATGTGTTAGCGTCAGTATCATGTGTGAGCGTCAGTACCATGTGTGAGCGTCAGTATCATGTGTGAGCGTCAGTACCATGTGTTAGCGTCAGTATCATGTGTGAGCATCAGTACCATGTGTGACCCTCACCATCCGTCGCTATCGGCCGCGTTGACGTTGACCCCAAACTGAACCAGGAAGTGGACGATGTCTGAGTGACCAGCGCACACCGCGTTGTGCAGCGCCGTGATGCCCTCGTCATTCGCCACGCTGGAATCTGGTACCTGAGGACCAGCAAGGACCAGTGAGGACCAGTGAGGACCAGAGATTTAGAACCAGAGACTGTATAAATACATCCAATAAATCAATGAAGGCTAATGTGGTGTTCTACGTTTGTGTCTCTCTCTGGTCTTTCTCTGGTCTCTCTCTGGTCTCTCTCTGGTCTCTCTCTGGTCTCTCTCTGGTCTCTCTCTGGTCTCTCTCTGGTCTCTCTCTGGTCTCTCTCTGGTCTTTCTCTGGTCTCTCTCTGGTCTCTCTCTGATCTCTCTCTGGTCTCTTGTCCCTCTGGTCTCTCTCTGGTCTCTCTCTCTCTCTGGTCTCTCTCCCTGGTCTCTCTGGTCTCTCTCTGGTCTCTCTCTCTCTGGTCTCTCTCCCTGGTCTCTCTCTGGTCTCTCTCTGGTCTCTCTCTGGTCTCTCTCTGGTCTCTCTCCCTGGTCTCCCTGGTCTCTCTCTGGTCTCTCTCTGGTCTCTCTCTCTGGTCTCTCTCTGGTCTCTCTCTGGTCTCTCTCTCTGGTCTCTCTCTGGTCTCTCTCTGGTCTCTCTCTGGTCTCTCTCTCTGTTCTCTCTCTGGTCTCTCTCTGGTCTCTCTCTGGTCTCTCTCTCTGGTCTCTCTCTGGTCTCTCTCTGGTCTCTCTCTGGTCTCTCTCTGGTCTCTCTCTGGTCTCTCTCTGGTCTCTCTCTCTGGTCTCTCTCTGGTCTCTCTCTCTGGTCTCTCTCTCTGGTCTCTCTCTGGTCTCTCTCTGGTCTCTCTCTGGTCTCTCTCTGGTCTCTCTCTCTGGTCTCTCTCTGGTCTCTCTCTGGTCTCTCTCTGGTCTCTCTCTGGTCTCTCTCTCTGGTCTCTCTCTCTGGTCTCTCTCTGGTCTCTCTCTGGTCTCTCTCTGGTCTCTCTCTGGTCTCTCTCCCTGGTCTCCCTGGTCTCTCTGGTCTCTCTCTCTGGTCTCTCTGGTCTCTCTCTGGTCTCTCTCCCTGGTCTCCCTGGTCTCTCTGGTCTCTCTCTCTGGTCTCTCTCTGGTCTCTCTCCCTGATCTCTCTGGTCTCTCTCTGAACCAGGACTGACCTCATAGATGATTCTCTGGACCAGGTCGAACTCTCCCTCCAGAGCAGCGTCCAGCAGCAGAGAGATCGGGTTGAACCGGACTCTGAGACCTGCTCTGGTCCGGTCTTCTGATCCAGAAGCACGAAGGATCGACTTCAGGACCTGGGACACAAGAGGATGGACTAAAGTAGGACTAGACCAGGACTAGACTAGGACTAAACTGGGTCTGGTCTAAAGCAGGGGTAGACCAGGACTATACTGGGTCAAAAGCAGGACTTGATCAGGACTAAACTGGGTCTGGTCTATGGCGGGGTTGACCAGGATTAAAACTAGACTAAAGCAGGACAAGACTAGGACTAAACCTGGACTAAAGCAGGATTAAAACAAGAGTCGATCAGAATTAAACTAGGACTAAACCGGGACTAAACCGGGTACAAACCTGGTCTAAAGCAGGGGTAGACCAGGACTAAACCGGGTGAAAACCTGGTCACATCAATGTCTCATCAGTGTCACATGAGTGTCTCATCAGTGTCCCATCAGTGTCTCATCAGTGTCTCATCAGAGTCACATCAGTGTCTCATCAGTGTCTCATCAGTGTCTCATCAGTGTCACATCAGTGTCTCATCAGTGTCTCATCAGTGTCTCATCAGTGTCACATCAGTGTCTCATCAGTGTCTCATCAGTGTCTCATCAGTGTCACATCAGTGTCACATCAGTGTCACATCAGTGTCTCATCAGTGTCTCATCAGTGTCTCATCAGTGTCTCATCAGTGTCTCATCAGTGTCTCATCAGTGTCACATCAGTGTCTCATCAGTGTCTCATCAGTGTCTCATCAGTGTCACATCAGTGTCTCATCAGTGTCTCATCAGTGTCTCATCAGTGTCATCAGTGTCTCATCAGTGTCACATCAGTGTCTCATCAGTGTCTCATCAGTGTCACATCAGTGTCTCATCAGTGTCCCATCAGTGTCTCATCAGAGTCAAATCAGTGTCTCATCAGTGTCTCATCAGTGTCTCATCAGTGTCACAGTGTCTCATCAGTGTCTCAGTGTCTCAGTGTCATCAGTGTCACATCAGTGTCTCATCAGTGTCTCATCAGTGTCACATCAGTGTCTCATCAGTGTCTCATCAGTGTCTCATCAGTGTCCCATCAGTGTCTCATCAGTGTCTCATCAGTGTCTCATCAGTGTCTCATCAGTGTCACATCAGTGTCATCAGTGTCATCAGTGTCTCATCAGTGTCTCATCAGTTTCACATCAGTGTCATCAGTGTCTCATCAGTGTCTCATCAGTGTCTCATCAGTGTCACATCAGTGTCTCATTAGTGTCTCATCAGTGTCTCATCAGTGTCACATCAGTGTCATCAGTGTCTCATCAGTGTCTCATCAGTGTCACATCAGTGTCTCATCAGTGTCATCAGTGTCTCATCAGTGTTTCATCAGTGTCTCATCAGCGTCATCAGTGTCATCAGTGTCATCAGTGTCTCATCAGTGTCATCAGTGTCTCATCAGTGTCACATCAGTGTCATCAGTGTCTCATCAGTGTCTCATCAGTGTCATCAGTGTCATCAGTGTCTCATCAGTGTCACATCAGTGTCTCATCAGTGTCTCATCAGTGTCACATCAGTGTCTCATCAGTGTCTCATCAGTGTCACATCAGTGTCACATCAGTGTCTCATCAGTGTCTCATCAGTGTCTCATCAGTGTCTCATCAGCGTCTCATCAGCTTCTCATCAGCGTCTCATCAGCGTCTCATCAGCGTCACATCAGTGTCTCATCAGTGTCTCATCAGTGTCTCATCAGCGTCTCATCAGCGTCTCATCAGCGTCTCATCAGCGTCACATCAGCGTCTCATCAGTGTCTCATCAGTGTCTCATCAGTGTCTCATGAGAGTCACATCAGTGTCTCATCAGAGTCACATCAGTGTCTCATCAGTGTCACATCAGTGTCTCATCAGTGTCACATCAGTGTCACCTCAGTGTCTCATCAGTGTCTCATCAGTGTCTCATCAGTGTGTCATCAGTGTCACATCAGTGTCACAGAGGAGATAAGGCTAGCACCATCAGTATCCTCTTTTAAATCTCTTCTTAAAACCCACTTTTATCAAACAGCTTTTAACTGTTAGTTTTAAACTTCACATGCTGTATTTTAATGTCTGCTTTGTCTTTGTTGTGTCTCTTTTGTGTTTTGCTCTGTTTGCTTTGTGTTTCTGTATCTAATTATTTTGACCTTGTATTATGCCTGTTTTTATTGTTTATCATGCTGACTGTGCAGCGCTTTATAAACATTGTTTTAAAAAGTGCTATACAAATAAAGATTATTATTATTATTATTATTCTCAGTGTGAAACTAGTCCTTCAGCTGAACATCTCCAAACAGTGAATGACAGACCTTTAATATGGAGTCCAGGTGTGTGCGACGATGTGGACCACTGGAGACATCGGCATCATCCTCTCTGTGGAAGAGACAGAGACACTTATGTTTGTATGACTCTGACAGAGACACTTATGTCCATGTGACTCTGTGACAGAGACACTTATGTCCATGTGACTCTGAGACAGAGACACTTATGTCCACGTGACTCTGTGACAGAGACACTTATGTCCACGTGACTCTGTGACAGAGACACTTATGTCCATGTGACTCTGCGACAGAGACACTTATGTCCATGTGACTCTGCGACAGAGACACTTACTGTATGTCCACGTGACTCTGCGACAGAGACACTTATGTCCACGTGACTCTGCGACAGAGACACTTATGTCCACGTGACTCTGCGACAGAGACACTTATGTCCACGTGACTCTGTGACAGAGACACTTATGTCCACGTGACTCTGCGACAGAGATTCAGATTCAGATTCAGATTCATTTATTTGCCATTTGCAGTAAAACCACATTGGAAAAACTGTGCAAGACTACCCCGGTGTGCACCAGACAGAGAAGACGACACACACCAGAGCTCTTGCCACGGCGCCATCTTTACGGCGCCATGCGACAAACAGTAGAATAAACAGCAGAGAGCAATAACACACAGTTTCACAGACAGTTGGATAGACACATTGTGCTTTGTATAAACCACGGATTTTTTTCTCGGGATGAGCACCTCCGACTGCCGGCCCAATGTGGCTGTCAGAGGGGGGCAGGGTCAGGGAGGGGGTGAGTCGGAAACACAATGAGGAGTGGAGGGGAGGGAGGGAGCAAGATGGATAGGTAGAGGGAGGCGGGGGTGAGGGATCCGAGCTGGAGACTGAATAGTGTGAGTTGTTGTAGATGGGGACCTTGTTATTATGGCCTTGGCCGAGGAATGTGAGATAAGAGTGGAGAGAAGACACAGCAGGAGAAAAACACATCGCCTGAGGGGGACAATATTATATGCAATGTAGCAGTCAAAAGCAGACAGATATTCTATTAAATCCAATTAAACCGAATTGCGGCGCCCTCAGACCTCCGTACACAGGGGCAAATCCAAGCCGGGTCAGAGAGTTCAAGCCTGACACACGATGTCATTCAATCTCATCTCCAATGTTTTAATGTTTTATTCCCTTCGAGTGAACAAGCTGCGAGATCTTTTATCAACTGTTCCACCAACACCACTCTCCTTTGTCCAGACACGGCACTCTCAGCCACGACTCGGCTAAGCTCCTTGTACATCCCATCAATTTTGTCGGCCAGCAGGTCGTGAATCTTGCGAACTGCCATGCCTCCGAATTTGCGATAGAAGAGGACCGCTCCAAATCCAAACAGGAGGATCCCCACCACCAAAATGCCAAAGATATATACGTCTTCCGAATCTTCAATAGACAGGGTCGACAGACAGAGGGGCTGAAACTTGTTCCAGCTGTCAAGAGTATACCCCGCAGGTGAAGTCCCGTCCGGGCACACGGGCTCTCCAGACCCTCGCTTACGTGTTGAAAAGATAGAATCAATTGCGTTGAGGGACCAGTTAATCATTTCCATTCTTGTTAAAGTTGTCTGTGGCAAAACTCCAGGAAAAAGACAAAAACAGGAGATAGCAAGCAGTCAGAAGCAGGAGCGTCTGAGACACGACTTTGCTCGACGGAGGCGGAAGAGAACATTTACACTTATGTCCACGTGACTCTGTGACAGAGACACTTATGTCCACGTGACTCTGCGACAGAGACACTTATGTCCACGTGACTCTGCGACAGAGACACTTATGTCTACGTGACTCTGACAGAGACACTTATGTCCATGTGACTCTGCGACAGAGACACTTATGTCCATGTGACTCTGCGACAGAGACACTTATGTCCACGTGACTCTGTGACAGAGACACTTATGTCCACGTGACTCTGTGACAGAGACACTTATGTCCACGTGACTCTCTGACAGAGACACTTATGTCCATGTGACTCTGATACAGAGACACTTATGTCCATGTGACTCTGTGACAGAGACACTTATGTCCATGTGACTCTGCGACAGAGACACTTATGTCCATGTGACTCTGTGACAGAGACACTTATGTCCATGTGACTCTGCGACAGAGACACTTATGTCCACGTGACTCTGTGACAGAGACACTTATGTCCATGTGACTCTGCGACAGAGACACTTATGTCCACGTGACTCTGTGACAGAGACACTTATGTCCATGTGACTCTGCGACAGAGACACTTATGTCCATGTGACTCTGTGACAGAGACACTTATGTCCACGTGACTCTGTGACAGAGACAGAGACATTTACAGAAGGCCAAAGAAGTATTTAGTCAGACACCAACTGTGCAAGTTCTCCCACTTAAAAATAGAGATGTCTGTAATTTTCATCATAAGTTTACCTCAATTATGAAACAAAATGAGAAAAAAAGTATCACATTGTCATGTCACATTTTTATAGCATGTATTCACAGATGATGGTGGAAAATAAGTATTTAGTCACCTACAAACAAGAAAATGATTTGGCTCTGACAGATCTGTAACTCCTTCTTTAAGAGGCTCCTCTGTCCTCCTTTACCTGTAATAACAGCACCTGTATCAGCACCTGTAACAGCAGCTGTATCAGTATCTGTATCAGCACCTGTAACAGCACCTGTATCAGCACCTGTTTGAACTTGTTATCAGTATAAAAGACTCCAGTCCACAACCTCACACAGAGACTCTCCAAACTCCACTATGGCCAAGACCAAAGAACTGTAAAAGTAAACACAGTTGTAGACCTGCACCAGGCTGGGAAGACTGGATATGCAGCAGGAAAGCAGTTAGGTGTGAATAAATCAAATCTAGGAGAAATTATTAGAAAAGACCACTGATAATCTCCCTCGGCCTGAGGCTCACCGCAAGATCTTACCTCATGGGGTCAAAAGTATTACAAGAACGATGAGCTAATATCCCAGAACCACACGGGAGGACTCAGTGAATGGTCTGCAGAGAGCTGGGACCAAAGTAACAAAGAATACTATCAATGACACACTACTCCGCCAGGGACTCGGGTCCAGATGTGTCCCCGGCTTAATCCAGAACAGGTCCAGACCGTCTGAAATTTACTCGAGAGCATTTGGATGAACCAGAAGAGGATTGGGAGAATGTTCTATTGTCAGATTAAACCAAAATAGAACTTTTGGGTGTTTATTGTCTTTGTCTGTCTTTGTTCCTGGTTCTATTTTGGATTTTGAATTTAGTTTTTACCTTGGACTTTTGTTTTTCATCATTGAATCATTTTTATTTTTGCATTCCTGCCTTTTGAGTCCTCCATTCACATAATTGTGTGGGGATGATGTATCTGGGTAAAGAAAGAACGTGTGGGGCCATGTGTCCATCAGCAGCAAAGGCTTTGAAGTCCATTGAATAAATACTTTAATTTACATAATTTGCAAATACATTTTAATGTTCTAGATGTTCTCTCTTGTTGCTGATGTTTATCTTTGATAGTTACAGGCGTCTCATCTTTTTAAGTGGAAGAACTTGTACAATCTGTGACTGACTAAATACTGTTTTTCCCCAAAACTGTTTACTTTTGAATGCTCTGGAAACGACAGAACGTCCTGAGTGTCTCTGAAACAGTTGTTGTTTTGTGTTTACAAATGTTTTCTTTATTCCTTTTTTTCTACATGAGATGTTGCTGCAGTACAGTGTTCTTGGTTTTACACTGGTCCAGACCAGAGCAGAGAGGATTCATGGTTTGACACTGGTCCAGACCAGAACAGAGAGGATTCATGGTTTTACACTGGTCCAGACCAGAGCAAAGAGGATTCATGGTTTTACACTGGTCCAGACCAGAGCAGAGAGGATTCATGGTTTTACACTGGTCCAGACCAGAGCAAAGAGGATTCATGGTCTGAACCAATCGGATCAGGTAAAAATCCACTGGAGGAATGCTAACTTTTTGAAAAACACTAAAAAAGCACTTAGCATTTTACTTTGGACCAGAGCAGAGAAAATGGGGCAACTCCACCTTGTGACCTGTCCTGCTCCACCCAGAGGCTACTCCACCTCTGCTGCTGTGACCCGTCCTGCTCCACCCAGAGACTACTCCACCTCTGCTGCTGTGACCTGTCCTGCTGCACCCAGAGACTACTCCACCTCTGCTGCTGTGACCCGTCCTGCTCCACCCAGAGGCTGCTCCACCTCTGCTGCTGTGACTTGTCCTGCTCCACCCAGAGGCTACTCCACCTCTGCTGCTGTGACCTGTCCTGCTGCACCCAGAGGCTACTCCACCTCTGCTGCTGTGACCTGTCCTGCTCCACCCAGAGGCTACTCCACCTCTGCTGCTGTGACTTGTCCTGCTCCACCCAGAGGCTACTCCACCTCTGCTGCTGTGACCTGTCCTGCTGCACCCAGAGGCTACTCCACCTCTGCTGCTGTGACCTGTCCTGCTCCACCCAGAGGCTACTCCACCTCTGCTGCTGTGACCCGGCCTGCTGCACCCAGAGGCTACTCCACCTCTGCTGCTGTGACCCGGCCTGCTGCACCCAGAGGCTACTCCACCTCTGCTGCTGTGACCTGTCCTGCTGCACCCAGAGGCTACTCCACCTCTGCTGCTGTGACCTGTCCTGCTCCACCCAGAGGCTACTCCACCTCTGCTGCTGT